AATGATTATTCAGACGATTAAACAAAATGCGGATGGTTAAATGCTAAAATAAAGTTTTGACGTTTATCTTGCCCCATATCGCGTTCATCCATATCGCGTTCATTTTCCTACTTTTTATGTTTGTATGGCCGACTAATATACACTAAACGGATATAGATAAGTTTGGCAATAAACGACTTGTTTTGAAACAGATTATTGAACAAATTTACTATGCATTATCTATTTAATTATATAGATAAATTAAATATTTTGATAAATAAACTTAACTAGCTGGGTAGCCCGCCCAATTGAGCGGCTAGTATCCAAACAAAATCATATATTTTTTTAAGTATGGTTTTACTTAAAATTTATTGTCTTAAGACTTTGAAAGACCAAATATTTTCATCCCTGTGTTTCTAATTGTATAGTTTTTAAAAGTCACACCGGTTGCTACCCCTTACTTCTGTCATTTCCTTTTTTTATTTGCTTGCTCGATCTATCACTATTTCTATTCATTTTTCTTGGAACCTTTAAAAAAAATGGATCTTGTAATTTTTAGAGTTTATTTTCTTGTCGGGTTTCGTTTTTATAATCTCTGGAAGACCTGTCAAATGCTGCTGTTATACTCCTATACGGTCCGTCCACTGCCTCTTCTCTTTATTGTCGTTGGAATTTTAAAAATCGAACATAATTATTGTTTGGGTTCATTTTTTACTTTCAAGAAGTCCCACCAAACCGTCAACGGCTTTGTCATTGTACTCCTCTACGACTCGCTTGGTGCCTCCCTTCTTTATTATCATTCAGATTTTAAAATCGAATATGATTATCACTGTTTTTTTTTTACTTTTTAGAAGTTCCGAACCTTTAAAAATTGGAGCTTGTATTTTTTATAGTTTATTGTCTTGTTGGGTTTTATTTTTTATAATTTTTAGAAGGCCCATCAAACGATGCCACTATGCTCTTCTACGGCCCATCTGCAGCCTACTCTTTATTGTCATTGGGATTCTAAAAATCGAACATAACTATGTTGGAATTCATTTTTTATTTTCTAGAAGTCCCGCCAATCATCGGCGGCTCTGCAACTTTACTCCTATCCACCCCGCCCGCTGCTTCTCCTTTTTATTGTCAATGAGATTTTAAAAATCGAATATGATTATCAATGGGATTTATTCTTTTACTTTCTAGAAGTTTCGGCAACTGTCTTGCCCGTTTGCTTCACGGCCTGCCTGTCGTCCCTCCTTCTAATCGTTATTAGGATTATAATTGGTGTTTTATTAACAGTTTTAATATGTCGTATGAACCGCCACCACTCTACTCCTTTATAGGCATGTTACTTAATTTTATCTCATCACGAGTTTTAGATGGTCTTTTCTTTCAATATCCCTTATTTTTAATTTCGAATTTCAATTATTTTTAAATTGTATTCCTACTTGGACTCTCCTTTTCTTTTCTAATTTCGGATTTTATTTTATTTTTATTCCGAATTTTGATTTTTAATTAATATCGTATTGTGTTCTTTTAATATTTTTATTTTTTATTTTCAATTCTAGTTGCTTCAAAATTGTATTCCTATTTGAACTCTCTTTTAATTTTCAATATTGCTTATTTTTAATTCTGAATTTCAGTTAATTTTAAATTGTATTCCGACTTGAACTGTTCTCTTCTTTTCATTTTTGCTAATTTTGGATTTTAATTTTATTTTTATTTCGGATATTAATTAATCTGGTATTGATTTCTTATATGAACTCTTCTTTCAATATTCCTTATTTTTAATTTCGAATTTCAGTTATTTTTAAATTGTATTCCTACTTGGACTCTCATTTTCTTTTCTAATTTCGGATTTTATTTTGTTTTTATTCCGAATTTTGATTAATCTCGTATTGAGTTCTTATATGGACTCTTCATTCAATATTGCTTATTTTTAATTCTGAATTTCTGCTCTTTTTAAATTGTATTTCGACTTGAACTTTTTTTTTCTCCGATTAATGTGGGAATTTCTAGCCTCCACAGCGAACGTAGTGCCTCCTTTCAAAGCTGTTTTAATAATATAATAGATAGATGGTAACTTAAAAACAAGTGATGTAAGCAATATGGTAAAAGAAAGTTTTTTTTTCAATATATGTATATATTTTTAAAATTCATTTTGAGAAAACGTGAAGGAAATAATCAACTGAGCCGAACTTGACACCCCAGGTAAGGTAGTGCTTTGGAGTAGGACGGGCTTCCATGCTGACAGGGATGATGTGGAACCCCCAAGCTGAAGTGGTGCAATTAATCGTCGGCAACGAGAGCAGAAGGTCCACACGCACATAATGCAGGAGTGGTCTCGCAATACATCTACGGTAAATTCTCCAACTCAGCCGTTGCTTGATCTCCAGTGTTAAAAGTTAATACTACTAGCATCCAGAATTTACTCAAAAAGAAGATTGTGGACAATGCCCTATGCGCACTCTGTCAGACACTCAGACAGATACTGAAACGGCGAGCCATCTCTGTTTTGCTTGCCCCTTCGCAAAGAGTTTTTGGCGGGCTATCGGCTTTCAACCAAATATTGAAGAAGATGAATTTTACACTTCTTAAGAAAGTAATTTGAGGTACCTAAATTTTAAACTAAATTTTTTAATACCTAGAGATACTTAAGTATATAAAGATACCAAATTTTACATTAGAAAATATAGTATCTCTATGTGCTTTCATAAGGATAGTAAAATTACACATTGAAGAAACGAATTTCCTTTATCTACACCAATCGTCTGGAAGAATACCCAACAAGATGTTCCACCTACTTCCGCAGATTGTTTCCGGATACTTTGGCTGCATCGCCATAATGTGGTCTTCGCTAGGATCGGCCCTGACAAAATACTTACGGAGATACTAACTTCTGGGTTGAAAGACTAAATAGCAAAGATAGGGATATAATCCCGGTTTGGAAACAGTTGTTTTCTTCCTCCCTGAGAACTCTAAATTTGATGTAACCTTTGTGTCTCAAAACTATTCTCTTTGAATGAAATTCAGGAGGGGAATCTCTCCTCTCCGGTGACTTGGTCTTAAAAAAAAAACTACTAGTACCTAGAGGACCTGGCATGGCCACTCCTTGTTGTCTTATTCCATGGATCGGTACAATCACAACGGCAACCCTGCACGATAGCAGCGCACGTCCGTTTTATGCTATAAGACTTTCTAGTATTATCCATATTTCTATATATGTTAATATATGTCTGGATTCATTAACATATGTATAAATATTAACAATGCTAAAAAGTCTTATAATATGAAACAGAGGGAGTAGTTTTTATACTTGTCATATTATATAGAAGTTATGTATAGAAATTATATACTCAACGAATGATTTCTTCAAAATAAATTCTCAGCCAATCAACCATCTTTTTTCATTCACTTAAGAAATAGTTTTTTTCATTTTCCCCCTTTTCCCCCTTTTTCTTATTATCAACTCTTTTACTATTTCAGTTTTTTCTTACGCGTCAAATATATTTAACACTACGAAACTAACTTAGGTGAATGTTGGGACTGTCTTAATCCTGGCTAAAGTCCACAAGCATACAAACGTAGGAGCTTTAGTCAGACGCATGACTGTCACGTATTGGCACACGTAGCACCACCGATACCAACTGCAGTTGTCTACTTGCCCACCTGGCGTTGCCAAGCTGGTGGGAGCCATCTCCATTGCTGCCATTCCAATTCTGGCTGTCCTGGCTGGACTGATGCGCCATGTCAACATTCAAATTCAAGTGCTTGTCCATTTACATAACCTTTTCTTTTCTGTCTAGGGGGACTTTAGTACGTGTGACAGTTAATAGGGGAGCATATCTGTATGTATCAGATACATGCATGCTCCAGAATTTCTCTTCAGAGTAGAAGAAAGAAAAGGAAAAGAACAAAATGATAGAGCATGGCACAAAAGATACCCTTTTTAAAAATAGGAGTATCCTTTTGACTAAAAGTTCTTCTAGAAAAATTCGGAATTAGTGAGTGATCAGTGTCAGTGTTAAGATTCAGTAAGGCCCATTAACAGGACGGCCACTAGTGTTTAGTGGGCCAGTGAGGTGCCGCTGTGCAGGCCCACTAGACAGAACCAATTCCCAATTTTGGGTTGTAATAGTAGCCGAAATCTAGAAGATACCGAATCTGGTATGGCTGTAAGCTAATAATGGTCAGTAAGGACCAGAAGAGGGATATGTACAATGTATAAAACAAAACTCATTTTTTCTGTCGCTGTTCGATTAGTTTGCTAGCAATGCAGTTGCTTGCTAGCTGGTGGATGGTAGAGTTCAAAACTGCCAAACATGAAATAGCCGCAGAATTTAAGTTTGGAGTTTGGACTAAATATACTCCAATAATAATAGCTAGTACATGTAGTGTGCTTTTAAGATAGGAGGTTTCTAAGGATCCCTGCATATGATAGCAATGAGGTACCAGGTCTAATAATTTTTTTTTGAAAGAAATCAATACGATATTGTGCTATTTCATTGAATGTAAAGATAAAAAATACAACCTCTAGGTGTAAGGAAAAATACTGTACATGGCTACACAACGCCTATGGTTGATTTGAGAGAAATTCTCCAAGCCACTTGCTCCTGCCATAGCCTAAGTTTGCCTCCTTTATTTTTGCCATAAGGCTTTTTTTTTAATGGAATCAGCACGAGATTGTGCTATTTCATTAAATATAGCGGGAGAAAAGTACAACCCCTAAGAGAAGAAAGAAAAAAAGCTATACATAACTATACGTGTGGAGGGATAAACTCGCTAAGTTTTTTAAGCTCCGGCAAGAACCCAAGTTCGTGTTTCTTCCTTTATTTTGGCCAACAATTTTTGCCATAAGGCAAGGAGCCACAGCCTCCTTTTGCTCGAAAACCGTTGATTTTTTTCTTTCCGGATTTCCCAGAATGTCTAATACTTATATGTATCAGGTCTCGTATATGAATGTTAGACCTAATACCACAGAAGTACAAGGCCTGATACGTATGGATACCAACCTGATACACATTAATCCACAAGAAAAATGGAGGAGCCTCAATGAAGCCTAAACATCCCCAAACAAATTACAACTACGACACCATGGATAGAAAAATATTGTGGCGGATTTCTGTTGATTGAGCTCAGTGAGAGAGAAGCTGTTGTTCAACTGATCATCTAAAAGGGGGAAGATGCCTCGAGCATATCCACCAGCAGGCAGCGATGGGATTCTAACTGATGAAATTTCAAGTGTTAGTTTCAAATGTCACCTTTTTAAATAAATCAAAATAGCAACAATACTTCTCTGTCAAGTTTTAGTTTGTCGGCTCTGACGGTCACTGTAGGTAGGAGGAACACGGAACACCAATTCTTCAGTGGAAAGCAACATGATATATATCACTCTCAACTCTTCATGTGTATTTCCCTTTACAAATGCAAAAAAAAAAAATTCCAGCAATTAGCTGCAAACTTGTGCTACACAAAAAAACAAGCCATTCTGCCCTTCTACAGTGTCCAATCCATACACCGTGGCAGGTCTACGTGGCCAGAAGATACCTGAACCTGAACTCGTACGGCACAACCTGGATAGGCGGCGGCGACGGGCTCCGGCGGCTGGCCTCGACGGCCTCGACGGCGTGCCGCCGCCGCTCGCCGGGCAGCTGCAGGCACACCCAGTCCATGAGGGAGCTCACGTCCTTGGTGAAGTCAAGAAGGTACCAGTGCAGGAGCTTGGGGATCGAGATGCTGGTCGCCGTCGAGACGCCGACGGCGGCCTGCAGGTAGTCCCTCTTGGCTGCCTCCAGCTCTTCCTCGACGTGGCAAGCCGTGTACACCCTCACCTGCGTAGAGAGAAAAATACTCCTATGTCATCAGCATTTCCAATACCAAATGAAATGTAGCCTAGTGGTGGCCGTGTAAAAAATACCATTCTCTAATAAAATCAATACTGGAATACGCTTCTCTTAATAAAATCAACATTTCCAGTGCAGTGAGGAGTTCAGTATCATATTCAGTCTCACAATTTCAGTACTAACATTTTGAAATTTCCGAAAACAAAACAAGTTTTACTGAATTTTGCAAAAAAAGAAAAAAGGAAATCAATTTAACAAAATCTGTTTAAATTTCCGAAACCACCTAAATGTTTATGCAGTCTGAAATAGTAAACCCTGCTCACATTGTAGTGGTCTGCATTTTTACTGCCTAATAGTGATAGCTTTATATTATGCTGAATTCTCACACATTAGTAGTATTCAGTACTCTTCCCTAGACTGCAAGTCTGCAACCAACTTGATTACACCAAACGACTTATATTTGTGCCCTAACAAATATTCCTACTGTACTTTTCAGTACAATTAGTAAAGTGCAGCTTGTTCAACTTTTGCCTTTGCAGCTTGTTATAATCGCAGGCTGCTAGAGTGCTAGCTGGCTAGCTGCCACACAGAGCTTCCCGGCAAATTCATGATGTAGCAGTTGAAAAGATACACACCATAGTACCATACACGTTAACTTTTGTTCCTTTTTTCAATCTGAAGTTAGCTAGCACATGCAGAATGCACACCGAGAGCAGAGAGAAAATTCACCGGCACGCCGGAGAAACTTACCGCCGGCGAAGACCAGCTTCCGCAGGACAGCGCGAATGTCACCGACGGCTCAGGCCAGTCCAGTCCAAAAACCCCTCTCGCCGCCGCCGCCGCGCCATTGCCGGATTTCACCCCCTTCGGGTTCACCTGTCCACAAAGGCATAAACATCATCTTATATCCTCCTCATCTCTTCGCTTATCAAGATTCCTGTTATCCCGTCATATTATACGGAAATTGTGGGGACGCTTTGACTCCCGTGTCGCTCTCTGAGGCGACCCGGGAGGAGAACAGGACTCCCAGCGCTTTTCCCCTCGTCGCCCACCTCGCCGGCGCCGGCGCCGGTGCCGCAGCCGCCGGCGGCGCCCCCACCCACCTCCTCCCTTTTCACCTCCCCCTTTCACCTTTTTCCCTTTCCCATTTCTCCCTTTTCCACCTTTTCTGCTCAGCGCTCGGCGGCTGCTGGCTAGTTGCCCGGTCCTGTAAATCCTCACCGCCGTCGTCGCTTTTCAACTTGCCACCGTTCGAGCAGGTCACCGGAGAGTGCAGGTCCGCTGGGTTGGCGGCAAGGCTTCCTCCTCAGTCCCCTTCCTAGAGAGAGGGCGGCACGGTGGGTCTCGCCTGGCTCCGGCGAGCGACGCAGTGGAGGTGATGTCGACGGCGGGAGCGGCCACGCCCAGTGGCAGTCGGCAAGGCAGGCGCCTATGGCGCCGGTTGGCCGGGGGTGGTGGCAGTGGTGGAGGTTGCCGGTTAGTGGGGCGCTCCGGTGATGGGCATGGTTGCTGTATGGCGGCAAGTTCTCCATCACCGGTGGTCTCAATGGGCGGTGGTGACAGGGGCTAGCCCACCGTTCCTTCCTTTGTCACCGACGGCGTCGCGGACTTGGTGAGTAGCTGTTCTGGATGGAGATGGAGCTAGTCCTCTATCCCCTCCTTCGTCAGCGGCAGACTTGGTCGGCGACAGCGGCGCAAAGGTGGCAGCGGGCTGGGAGTCCGAGAACGGAGTAGGAGTCTGAAGTCAATGGCGGCCCTATGGGCGGCGGAGGCTTAAGAATCCGACGAAGCAAATACAGTTGCTTTCAACTAGTGTCTGGTCGGCTAGTTCTGACCGGAGGACGATGGATGAGGGTGGGCTTCCCGGCTGCCGTGGCATGAAAATGACATCTATGGAGATTCGCAGCGACAACGCACTAGGGGCGGTGGCGACGTTTCAGTTGAGGATGTCAGGATGCAGGGATTTACCGAGGTTGTAGGTTTTCTTGCTTTTTGGTTTTGTGTTCTCCTCTTCGTTGAGGTGTGAGTCTAGTACTCTTGTATCCTTTTGGCTGTGTATATCCCTTGTGGATATAGAGGCCGGATTAATGAAAATCCATTATCTAAAAAAAATCTCTTCGCTTATGTTTACGCTTATCAGCTAAAATTTAAATTTTCAACCTTAAATTTAGAGTTGATTTTGAGGTTTTTTTCATCGAAGTTTATTTTTCAGCTTTTAATTTTAAATCGCTAAGAACATGTATATGATTTTTTTTATTCACAAATTATTTTTCTTTTGCAAATACGCCCGAACGACGGGGCGTCAATCTTTTGTACCATGAAATCGATCAGATAAGTTTTCAGGCACACGGCAATGATGCTAGCATCTTACTCTTACATGCTTTGCATTGTAGGGCAGCCTTAGGATGAAGTGCTCGATCGTCATGGCGCTCAGCACGCGCCCACCCACGTTGATTGTCGCCTGCGGCAGCAAAGAAAAACAGCCAACTCACTCTTGTCAGAGATTTTCTCCATATCACCCTTTTATCTTTTGCTCTCGAGTTGCAGATGCATATGCTGCACGTAATGAATCTAGAGAAAGAAGTAAATGTGGATGGATGGATGGATGGAACCTTGGGCATCATTGCCACCAGCGTTTGTGGGGTGGTAGGTGCTCCATGCTCAAGAAATGCCTGGAGTTGCAGAATAAACAAGCCTGCATTAGTGTTAGATCAGGAGACATGTCACTTTGATCAGATTAATGAATTCTGTCAGGCTTTGCTAGCGAAGACGAGCTGTGGGTCAAAGGATAATGGAGCCAAGGTCGTCAGTTGTTTATGGCTCTGCAGATGATCAAGGAAGCAGGAAGCATTTTGATACTGAGGTTTAAACGTTTAATAACATGACAACATGCAGTCCACAGACATGCCGTGTATGCGCACAAAATTACACATGGCCAGAACTATCTAGGTGTATTTAAGCAAACCTAAACAAGCTTACAACCGTTGGAGATTTCACATCAGTGTAAAAGGGAGCTAATCAAAGTTGTCAATCAATCATGCTGAGGGGAAAAGCAAAGGAGGCCTCAATTATGAGGGACAGCTTACATTCATCATGCAGGAATTGTAGGTGTTGATCCAGAATGCTAACTTCTGCTGATGGGAAAGGCCCACTAGGTCAACTGAAGAGAGCTTCTGGAGCAAGGCCCTGATTTTTGCCAGGTAGACACTAGACAAGATCATTCCATGAACATGATAGGTCAAACAGAAACCAACTCATCACACAGCAGAATCTAGTTTGTAATGACAGATTAGTACAGTAGTAGTAGTAGTTACCCCAGATCAGTGGAAACTCACTTCAATCTCCTGTCAAGAAGGGAGTTGCTGTTGTCAAAAACATTCTGATCGAATGAAGTGGCATCAACTGCTCTGAATTGCTTGTATGGACCAATGTCCCTGCTACCCAATTCCAGGACGCCGTAGGGGTCGCCGGCGCAGGCGGCGCCGTCGGAGCTCTCGCAGGAGCCTGAAACCGACGGAGACGATGATCGGTCCTCATCTTGGTCACTGGAGGACCTCATCTGTGAGAAGATATTCAGTAGGCACGTCAATAGCTCCTCAGACACTTTGTTTGCTTCTGTCGAGATGTTTTCTGAATCAATGACAGTGGTGTCCTCAGTACCTTTCTGATCTTTCACTGCACTAACTGTCTGAAACGAAACAACATTAGCGAGCAAAATAAATTTAAGCACACAAAAACAAAACATTGGGCTAAGTCTTGTACCTGAAAATCGGCACATTTCTCCTCTTCTGGATTACTGCATTTTGGCACGGTTTTCAGAGGGAACCGGCTGTGATCTCTGAAAGAGTTGGTGGTACACGATTGGTTCTCCTTCCCAGGACGATCACCTCCATGGTTCATGGAAGGAATAGTCCTTCTTGGCGTCTGCTTGACATTGGTGACTCGCTTCAGAGACGACCAGCTAGCACTAGCAGCTTGGTCGGGAACTTGGCCATGGCGCGCCGGCGTGCACCGGTCGGTGTCGGAGAAGTACGCGCTCTTCGCCATGGAGATGGTGACAGCCTCCTCGTAGAGCCCTTGCCGGAAGCTGACGACCTGCTCCTCGAGCCGGACGACCTCCTCCTCCAAGACCGCGACCTCGGCGAGGAGCTCCAGCGTCTTGATTTGCACAATTCGGCAAAAAAACAAAATGATCAGGGAGATGAAATCCGATCCGTCTCACAAGCTGGAGCTAAGCTGCAGCCATGGCGATGGCGGCGGCGGCGGCCGGAGCTGGATGTTACCTGAGAAGGCAGGTAAGGTGGAAGGCGAGGGAGAGCGCCGAGTGGCCTCGTGAAGGCGCGCTCCAGAGCTCGGTGGACGTTCTCCTCGTGCCGCAGCTTCTTCCTCAGCTTGTCCACCTGCAACCCAACAAGAAGGCAAAGCGTTCGAACATGCTACTAACTGATTGTGTTTTAGCTGATCAATTCGATCAAAAACTGAATTTCTAGGCAAGGAGAAAAGATAATGTACGTCTTGCTGCAGTGCAATCTTCCTGTCTCTCCTGGATTGGCTCCTGTTCATGATCATCTGGGGCGCCGCAGCATTGGAGGACGACGCCTTCATCGCCGGAATCTTCGAGTTGGGCCTCTCCATCACCTTGATCAGGGCGGAGAAGAAAACAAAATGGACTCGTTTAGATGCAACAAGCGACAGTGAATTAAATACAACGCGGGGCTGCAGGAGCGGGGAGCAATCAAGATACCGAATTTGAACTGCTCTCGACTGGAATGGATCCCCCGGAGCCCATTTCAAAAACTCAGAGCGAAAACCATCCGAATTGGCACGCGAAAGCAACAGGAGTGAGGTGTACAAAACTTGTTGAACACAGAAAGCTCTGCTGAGCTTTGAAGCCGTAGCAATCAACCGCTCCCTCCAAGAACACAAAAAAAGAAAAAAAGGAGCGCAGAACTCGTCTCCCGAAGACACCCCCAAAAGGCCTCGAAACGCAAAGAATTCATGCGCCCATCTCCCATGGGACGCGAAAGGCGGCAGCTTTGTTGCGATCCGAGGAGCACGCAAGAGTCAAGGACGGCAATAGACACACACAAAAAGAAAAAAAGAAAACGTATTGGAAACAACACAAAAAAACGCGAGGAATATCATCATTAGCGCAAACTTTCCGGCGGCCGGAGCCCAAGAAAGGGAGTGGAGTGGGGGGAAGGAATGCAAGGGGAGAGCCACGTACCTTGTCGCTCCTCGGAGGAGCCCTCACGCCGCCGTGCCGCACCGCCGCCGGTGACGTCCTCCTCCCCACGCTGCCACTCATCGCCTCCCCGGCGCCGTGTACATCACCTATCACCACCAGGGTAAGGTTGGGTGGCCACTGGCACGAACGTCCGATCGGCGACGTAGGATCGGAGGAGCCAACCGACGCCGCCGCCGCCGCGAGACGAGGAGGAGCCCAGAATGCGAGGCAGAACCCGGCGGTGAAGTGGTGATCGCGGGTTCGATTCGTCTCGTACTCTCGCGTGATGTTTCTTCTCCTCCTCCGCGTGGGTGGTGGTGGTGTTCGCTTCACTACGGCTTCCTCCGTTTTATTCGCGGCTTGATATCGATCGGTCACGCCAGGTGAGGTCTCCTTTATTTTCATTTTTCTTTGTTTCTCGCCGTGCTGCCGACTTGCGACGCGACGAGGTGGTGGGCGGTGGGATGGCCGAGGCGATCGAGCGATCCACCGGGTCGGTTTGATGGTTTCTGCCGGGCTCGGCTAAGGAATATTGTGATGGGAAGAGCGGGCTGGGTCGGTCAGGTCAGCGGTGGCCGGGACGGGACGGGGGGCCACGCGGTCAATCATGAGCTCGTGGTGGCCTCGCTTTCCACCTTTCCAATATCGCACATATTTTCCCCTTCGCATGGGAAATAGTAGTATAACTTGGGAATATATCTGGATGTGTTTAGTTCGGATTCCTTCCTCCTAATGCGCAAAACGAAATTACGGATTAGCACATAATTAATTAAAAATTGATTAGAAAAATTAAAATAGATTGTAATACGATTTTCTATAATGGCTCTTCTATATTTTTTAAAAAAAACATTTTTTACAAGTTTACGCGTCAAAAATGAGGGATAGAAGTTAGGATAGTGGTCAAAAGAACTCAACCTTAAATGGAAACTTAGGAAGTATTTAATTAAAACGTTAAAAAAATCTTTGAAAAAACAAATATGTATTCTTTGTCCCAAAATACCGAATCTTAGAGATGAATATGGATATATAATATATGTTCAAATTTATTTCTACAATTGGATTATTTTGGGATAGAGTGAGTAGGTAATAACAACCTATAAAGTTGCATGAGCAAACTCAATTTCGTTGCTGAGGTATGAAATTAACAAACTATAGAGGAAAACACTCCTGTTTTTTTTCTTTTTCAGTGTTTCTAATTTTTATATCTCACAAATGAAATTGAGTTTATCCATGTAACTTTGCATAATTGTATAATACTATCTTAGCTATTTGTAAGGCTTTTTAATATATAAAGACTTTTATATCATTGTTTGAGATATAATTTTGGGAAACATGAGAGAAAAAGAAAAAATAATAAAAGGAATAGCGTTCTTCCTTTATGATTTGTTAATTTATATCTCATTAACGAAGTTGAGTTTTTTCATGGTGTGATATTTTTTAGATTTACTTGAGAACTCCTGTAAAAAAGTTTTTAAGTTTTCGTCTAGAATGTGGATTTCACTTTCCACCATATACTTTCCCCACTTGGCACTCCCTGGAAGTAGTAGTCCAGTATTTTTGTTCCTTCCCCTTCTTTTCTTCACTTGCCGTTAGCTGTAGCTGTCTGATCTGACTCTGATCACTGCTCTGTTTGGAAAAAGCTTAGCTGCATATGCTTACGAAGCAATGCAGCTACTACTACAAAACTTTTCCAAGTTGACACGGTGTAAAATAATTAGTGGATGCGAGGCTTACACAAAAAACGCAGCACTCATTTTGCTCCCCTGCAAATTTGGTCGCTGCAGCTGTTAACAAGTTAACACTAGATCAGAGCAAAAGCCGAGGAGTCTCAGGCTCGTCAGGTATATAAAAAAGCTCTGATCTTTTAAAAAGGATCAGCTTGGTTTATAAGTTTACGAGTGTAATGCTATCCAAATGGTCGGTTTAGACGAGTGTGCTGCTGCTTCCATGATGCATCGCATACGCAAAGGCCGGCTCTGCCATGTGAGGAGTTCATCTTTTGCAGTGCTATCCTGTTCATTCAACGCACAGCACATCGTCAGAGACTTTGCGAAAAAGACAGGGTCGTGACGAAGTGTTGTGTGTGTGTGTGTGTATGCAGAGAAGCTGGGCATCACGTCGCCCTGCAAAATTACAAGCGAGCAGGAACACGGAGGTAGGTGAAAAGCGTGTGGGGGGTTTTTAATTTTTTGCTGCAAAATGATCCGTATTTATCGGTCGTTTCCTACGCAGAAATGGCAGTATAGTACTGTACTAGCTGTAGTTCTTGTCGACCTTACAAAAAGCTTCTGCATTTGTGGACTGTCACTAAGCTAATCACCCCGTTGTTTTGGAAAACAATGTTAACTAGTTAATAACAAAAATAGTTTCAGAACGCCCGGTCGTTCTGCCCCGGGGGCGACGCGGGTGGCGATCCCCACCAAACCCCCCCCCACCCCGCCTCGCCGCTGCCCGAGCCACCGCCGGCAAAGCCAAGCGGCTGCAAGGACGGAGGTGGTGGAGCTCTCTCTCCCTCGCTCACGGTTAAGGCGGTCGGGGCGCCGGCAAGATGGAGCTCAGGGCAAGGCGCCGAAGCCGAGGAAGAGCCGATGGCAGCATCCAGATTTGGCACCGGGATGCACGGATCTGGTCCCCCCATGGCCAGATCTGTTGCTCCAGGCGGCGGAGAGCCAGGTCAGCGAGTTGGCGGCGTCGGTGGCGTGGAGTTGGCGGCATTGGCAGATAGAGTTGGCGGCCTCGGCGGTGTGGAGGTGGCGGCGGGGGCGGCGGCAAGCACGATAGCGTCGGAGGCATGGGTGGCCGCGGCAGGCATGGAGGCGCGACTGTTGTGGCCGCCGGCGGGCTGTGGCAGGCCGGCGGCTCGAGGCGGGTCGCCGGTGCGAGCGGGCCAGCGAGTGGACGTCGGTGGCAGGCGTCGGAGGCTGCGGATCCGAAGGAAGCTGCAAAGGTGGAGGATGGCGCGCTCGCAGCGGCCTTCTTCACGATGGCGGGGTGGCGATGGTGGCGGGGTTGGTGGTGGAGCGACAGCGGCGGTGGTGGAGGCCAGGGGGCGGAGAACTAGGGCTGTGGCGGCTGTGGCTGTGGTTGTTGTGGCGACCGTGGCCGTGCCTACGGCGAGAGGAGGCACGACGGTCTCGGACAGCTAGCCAGGGGCGTGGTAGACGGCTACATCTGACCAGCGCAACAGCAATTGGAGGAGGGGTCGGAGGTCGGCTCGGCGCAACCGATGGCAGCGGAGGTCGGCATGACGCAAGGAGGCGCGGCCGGCAGCGGTGGAGGCCGGCTTGGCGCGGCCGGTGGCGGGAGGCCGGATTGGCTCGATGAGGCACGTCCGGTGGTGAAGAAGGCCGACGTGGCGTGATGAGGCGTGGCCGGTGGTGGAGGAGGCGACCACGGTGCGAGGAGGAGCTGCTGGTGGGTGTGGCGCGGTCTACGACGCACGACGGCTAGCCGGCGGGGGGCGCCGGTGCAGGGGTCCCACATGTCGGCGGAGGTTGGGCAGTGGTGGAGCATCGGTGCGTTAGCCGTGGACTCGCAAGTGGTGAGCGGCAGGTGAAAACCCAACCCGGCCTTGGCCGGACCGACAACGATAGAGCTCGAGTGTCATTCCCCCTCCTAAGGGCGTTGTCGTGCCGTCTCACCCCTCAAGGGTGGTTGCCGGGCGAAAGCCTAGTCTTCTCTCTTTTGAAACCTTGGTGGACGGTGGCGGTGGTTTTCGTCACTTCTCTCCTTGGAGTTGTCATTTAGGCATCCCCTTGCTGAAACCACTCGAGCAATTGGTGCAAGCACACTCTAGATTTTTCATCCTCTTGTGGTGGCGTCCTAGTTTCTACAAGTTGACTACGTCGGAGGGCCTAGGGGGAGAGGTGCTCCATCTTCTCTCTCACCCTCTCTCCCTAAATCCTGAAGACGTGGATAGAGTTGGGCTTTGTGGTGGTTGTAAGAGCGTTTTTTGGGCGATCTCGTTTGTGTTCCGTTTTTAGCCTAGCGGCGGTCGGTCACGCTTAGCGGCGATCGGTCCGGTGCTAGCCTTCTCCCGGACCTGTGTGTTGGTGCTGTTGGTGTGTGGGTGGTGGTATATTTTTTATTTTTTTCTGGTTACGATCTTGCAGGGTTATAATTTTATAATTGTTTTCTGCTCTATCAATAATCGCACCGTCTCATGTGAGTCGTTAAAAAAAACTAGTTAATAACATTATTTTTTTTTGGTTAGTGTCTGAAGAAGATTAAAGGAAGCTGGGAGTGAAGAGATGGTGATTTTTCGGCGCGACCAGGGGTGGATATAGTTGCAGGACAGCTAGAGCTATAGCTCTACTCCTATTGCCCAAATATCCATAGAATCATACTTTAAAATTTAAAAAGCCCAAATATCCATAGAAATCATACTTTAAAATTTAAAAAATAGAAGACAAAAGATAAATTTATTTAGATTATACTAGTTCAGCCCTACTATGAGCATATTCTGGCTCCTCCACTGGCTGGGACGGTGGTGAAGAAATGTCTGGACTAATTTTATAGGCCGTGTTTGGTTCACCCCCAACTACCCTAAACTTACAACTTTCCATCACATCACATCACATCCAAAATTTTTCTACACACATAAACTTTTAACTTTTTTTTCAAACTTTCAACTTTCCCTAAACTTCCAATTTTTTTTAGGAACTAAACACACCCATAAGATTGAGGGAAGGTAAAATATTCTCAATAAACATAGTTGTTAATATTACAACGTGTCCTGCGAACGAATAGAACTTTACGTCGTCCAAATCCAAATCAAAGCATGTATACGTCGGGTTGGCTATCAGCAATGCACTAGAAACCGGCTTCACACATAAAATGTGCCTCGATTCGACACGCTCGCCATTCTTACATTGGAGAGATGGCGATGGTGATGATGATGTATACAAAGCTTTTGTGCCCGGGCACATGAGATGAGAGTCGCGGAGCTGGCAAGTAACAACGTTTCTTCTCGTTTTGATAGCCAAATTGGCCAGTTTGTCTCGACAAAATTTCTTCCCGAACTGACACTGTCCATGTGACGTGGTCCACGTAGTCAGTGGCGCGTAACCCTACCAATCTTCGGTGTGGAATGAAGCAGATTTCCTATATACGATCCATGATCCATCGGTGGCACTTTTTTTTTTAACGACTCGTACGAGACGGTGCGAAGTTTTATTGATAGAGTAGGAAAAAATTACAAGATTATAACTCTGGAGAGTCGTAACCAGAAAAAAGAAAAAAATATACCACCACCCACACGCCGACATCGCCAACACACACGCCTAGGAGAAGGCTAGCACCGGATCGGCCACCGCTAAGCATGACCGACCGTCACTAGGCCAACAAAGGGGCACAGACGAGATCGAAACCACGGCTGACGCACCGATTGCTCCACCACCACACAAGCTTTGCCGACATGTGGGACCCCTGCACCAGCGTCCCCCGCCGGCCAGCTTTCGTGCGCCAAAGACCGCGCCACACCCACCGACAACTCCTCC